GCCATTCCCTGCAGTCCAGGGAGTTGGCACCTGGCTCTTCTGCTGCCCTGCTGCCCCAGCTCCCAGGCTTGCAAGGCTGCAGTCTCACCCCTCTGACCCTGAGGGACACGCTGACTCCAGGTATAGCTCCCCTGAAAGGAGAGCCTGAGAAGAGGGCTCAGTGACTTGGCAGGTGGCCCCAGGAGGCAGCGCCACAGGAATGAAGGAGCAAGGGCCCATGCCACTGAGATCGCTAGCTAGCTCATCCCTGGGCAGATCCTGCAGTGGGCAGAGGCAGGAGACAGCATTGCTGCAGTTTGGAGGCAAGCCCTGAGTCAGACAAAGGGGAGGCTGGTGTGGGCTCTGGGGGGAGGTGAGACACAGTGGGACAGGTGGTGTGCATGGAAGTGTGGCACAGACATGGCCCAGGGTTTGCTGACAGATGTGACCCAACAGCAGGGCTGTGGTCCTTCTCTGGTGTGACACATGCTCTACCTTCTCCTATTGCTCAGGGCCTGGTGACATCCTTCCTCCCTGTGCACTCTGCCCTTCTGGTTACCTTGTTCTCTGCCACCACGTTCTCCTCACCTGCATGATGGGCCCCTGCTGGCTGGCGTGCTTGGAGCCCGATTAGAAGCATCCTACTCACGGGCCGCTCTGGCTGTGCTATTCATTGGGTGACACCTGGTGTCCATGTTGCAGGTTGCATCTCTTGGGCTGGTCTGAATTCATAGAGAACACTTTTCTTGTTTCTGGCCAGAGGACAAGACACCTGGAGCTGAGCAGGAGGGGGAAAGTCTCAGGCTGGGGCCAGGCTCCAGACTCAGCATGTAAAACAAATCCTTTCATTTTAAGGCCAGTGCCTGGTGGTCTTTAGTCCCACATCCTCTCGTTTGGCCTCTCTAAGAGAGGCACCTTGGACCCTGGGAGAGGTGGGCGAAGGAGCACAAGTCACGTGGCTCAATGGCCTGGTCTGAGCCCCAGCCTCTTCCTACACAACCTCAAATGGCCCTCCTGTTGTGCACCTCCCTGCAGCCCAGCTCCCACCTTGGCCAGAAGTAGTTCATCCCACCTCAGAGCCTTCCCAAAGGAAACCACATTGCTCACAGGGCACCCACCCCTGCCGCCAGGAGCTCACTGCACAGCCTTCTGGGATCTGCTTCATCAGCAGGACCAGCTTCGCACTTTCAAAATTGTGTGGCTGCTGTCTTCTCATCCATTTGTCCTTCTGGGTTCATGGTTTTCAAGCTATTGTCTTTTATGTGGGGTGTCATCTTTAAGGGAAAGCATGTTTCAGTTAATTTGGGGGTGGTAACCATTCATCCCCAAATCCAAGGGGAAGCACACTCTTTATTTCTTTTCTCAGGACCCTGTGGGGTGGCTGGCTGTATGCTGATCAGAGCTGACTGCCCCTCTCTGCACCCAGAGCATCTTGGCTGGGGCTGAGGGCCAGGATGCCCTCACTTGAGGTCTGAAAGGTGACCTGATGTCATGGCATCAGGGCCCAGCAGGCCAGCCTGGGCTTTTTCACATGCTGGGGTCACAGAACCCTAAGAGCAGCAATAGAATGAGTAACCCCGAGCACAGCAGCACTTAAAAAAATAGACTTTGTTTCTTAGAGGAGCTTTAAATTCACATGACACTGAGCAGAAAGTATAGATGTTTCTCATATACACTCTCACCCCCCACACATGGACTCCCTCCATCGGCACCCCTGCTCGAGTGGCACATTTGTTACAGTGAACTACACTGACATGTCATTGCCACCCAATGTCCATCATTTACATTAGGGTTTGCTCTTGGTGCTGTACATTCTGTGGGTCTGGATCAATGTATATGGCATGCATCCATCACTGTAGTCATACAAATAGTTTAATTGCTCTAAACATCCTGTGCCCTGCTCTTCATCCCCCCCATCCATGAACCCCTGGTAACTACTAATCTTTCACTATCTCTGTAGTTTTGCCTTTCCACAATGTCAAATTTTTGGAATCATACAATTTTTAGCTTTTTTGGATTGGCTTCTTGCATGTAAATTCTATCATGTATTTTCCTGGCTTGATAGCTCATGTTTTTGATAATCTGTTATCTGGATGTATTATATTTTGGTTATTCATACAACTGCCAGAAGACATCTTGGTTGCTTCTGGGTTTTTGAAACCCATAAATAAAGCTGCCATAGACATCCATGTGCAGGCTTTTGTGTGGCATTAGTTTTCAGCTCCTTTGGGTAAACACCAAGACAAGAGAGCCCAGTGTCTGGGCACTTTTCGAACTTCCACATGCATCACTTTTGCTAATATTAGAGTGGCTAAAACAAGTCCTGAGGCCAAACCCAGACTGGAAGGGCAGATGAGGTGAAGAGAAAAAGTCTCACCTCTGGACGGAATGAGTAGCAAGAACTGCAAAAACCCACTGGGAAGGCAAGAATTTATGGTCACTTTTGCAATGGGCTTCACCTGGTGGATGCTTTATGAATTCTTGATGTTTTGATGAAAATATCAAGTTGCTTGATTGTAAAGAATGAAAAAGACCATGGGTTAGGTGGCTTCAGAAACTTCTTAGTCAAAGGACCAAGTTGCCGGAAGCCTATAACAATGAGTTTCACACATTCTATTTATCCCACAATCACTTACTGTGTGCTATTATGTACTAGGCACTAGGGTTGCAGCTGTGACCCAGAGAGATGGTTCAGCTCAGTTAGTTTCTATTTCTGTGAGGGGTTGGAGCTAGAGACAGAAAATAGAATTCAAGATGCACTCCTTACTGCCTGGCTGCTCAACATGTGGTCCGCGGGCCAGCAGTGTCAGTATCCTTGGGAATTGGTTGGGAATCCAGGCTCTCAGCCTTGCTGGGTCAGAGTCACAGTATCACGACCCACAGCTTAACAAGATCTCTGGGTGATCCATGGGCAGGGACATTGGTCTGGAAAGCCCTGATCTCATGAGAGTCTTGTGCTGGGACTACAGAGAGGCTCTGACTGTCCAAGAGTTTCCAGGCTCCATTGGGTGGTCCAGCTTATGATTTTTCCATCTGGTAGGGACTGAAAGAACTGCAGGAGGTCAAAAGGTGCTGGAGCCAATTTCTTTATCCTGACAGTGCTTTCTCTCCTGTTCTGCCTACCCTGCACTGCCCTCTGGTGGCCATGGGGAGCTACTGCTGCCTCCCATTGCCCATCTTTGCAGCGGGTGCCAAGTACCAAACTCAGTTTGCTGCTAGTGGTGCAGGGATGACTGGCTTGTTAGTGTCCTATGATGTGAGGCTCAAAGTCATCCAAGAGCATGATGGAAGCAGCTTGGAAAACAGTGGATTTTGGCAGCAGGATGGCAAATTGAGGCCGTCCTTTGCCTGGGGAGGGGTGCTGGATCAGCCTTGGTCCTCACCACACCTTCACCCCCATCGCTTGGACAGAGTGCTTGGAGATGTAGCATGGGCTAGGGAGGAGGAAGAGGAGCTTTGTGCAGCAAGGACATGCAGGGGAGGTTAGGGCTGTGGGACAGGAGGCATCTGCCGGGTGATTACTTTCTCCCTCGGGCCCAGGTTTTAAGCAGGTAGAAAGGTGACTGCCTCTGCATTGGAAGGTTGCTGCATGGAGGATGGACTGGAACTGGTGTGCTGGAAGCAGTCATACCACTGAGGGTCCATGCTGCAGTCCAGACAGCGTGGGGGACTTAACAGGGGCTGGGCTTGGGTTGAGGGATGCAGACATGCCTCCCATATCCCAGAGAGGATGGTGAACCCAGGACTGGCAACTGGCTGCACTAGGGTCTAGAGCAGTGGTGGAGAATCTACGGTACCTGTGTTATTTGTTTTTCTTTTAAGACAAAAGATGTTAATGTCTCAGTTGTTTTTTCTAAACTAAAGCCTCAGTATTCAGGTTACCTGCAGTGTTGGCACTTTGCCGTAAATGAGTGAGTTTTGGGTTGAAGTTTGGGCACTCATCTCTAAAAGGGTTGGCCTTTACTGCTCACTGGTCTAGAGTGTTTGTGGAAGGAGAGTCCTTTTGGGAGTGTCCTTCTAGAGACATGACCCCAGGCCTTCCTAAGGTCAGAGCCCATGTCCTGGTCCACGCGGCTGCAGCAGCCTGACTCCCTGCTCTGCCCCACTGGATGCCCTCAGCTGGCCACTCCCTGAGGCTCCACTGCCTCCAACTTCCTCACTGTGTAGATCTAGGACTTTCCTGTGACTCACTGAAGCCTCCCACGGGGCCATCTACTTCCCTCCCAATCAGTGACAGGAGCTGGGCCTAAAAGTCACCCCACTTTGGCAGTGGTCTCTGGCTTTGAGACCCTGAGCTCCTGTTCTTTCTCCAGTGAAGGACCAGCCCTGCACCCCAGGGCACGGCATATGTCCTGACTATGGTGGACACTGTTGGTTCCTCTTCTCTGTCCCTTGGCACACTGGCCCCAAATCCCACAGCCAACATTTGTGAATCTTTGCCTCTGAGTTCTCTGGGGCTATGCTGTCCAATGCAGGAGACTGAAAGTGCCAGGGAATTAAAGTCCTCCAGAGCAGCCCCCAGTCACCATGCCAGAAGTTGGTGACCCCAGGTGGGGTAACTCCACAGTGTGTACACCACACCAGCCCCTGAGGCCCAGGACCTCTGAGCTCCAGTTCCCTGCAGTAGTAAGGGCTTGATGAGGTGTAGCGACACACACTTTCCTGGCTGGCTCCTTCCTTCTCTGCTTTCCTGTCCACAGCCTCATTAATGTTTCCTGGGGTTCTTTCTCAAAATAAACAATTTGCTCTCAAATCAGTGGTTTGGACTCAAATCCTTGCCTCAAGGTTTGCTTCTGGGAGAAGCCAAATGAAAAGAATACCCAGCTAAATAACTTTTTTTTCATGGTCTTTGCTTCAGGATAACAAGAAAGGATCATGGAGGACAGATCCCCAGCTTTTCCCCTGTGATCTCTGGACCAGGCATCGGGAGCAAGTGCCATCTGCTTCAGAGGAGCCATGAGTGAGACTCTAGACGTGGCCATGACTTCCCTGCAAGGCAGGCCCTCCCAACCCAGCTGACCTTAGACACTGGAGCCCTTGCAGGCAACCACAAAGCAGATGCCCTTATTGTTGGAGCAGGTTTCAGAGTAGCTGATGGGGCGGTAGTCACACCTCAGTTCCTTCAAGGCTGACTCCACTGTCTCCTTCTCTAGGTGGAGCCTGAAGAACTCCTTCAGGCTCACCATGTAGTGCTGTGAATGCAGGGTGACCATGGTGACCAGGTGTCTGCCTGGCTTCAGCAGGCTGGCCAGGCCCCACATGGCCACCGGGTACGTGTTCACACTGGTACAGGTGCTCTTCAGGGTCAGCAGCGTCAGCACAAAGTCAGCCGGTGGCACCTGGGCTGATCCCAGTGGGTGCAGCTGGGTCACATCGCACTTTAGCAACCTCATGACTGTTTTTCAGAGCTGGGCTTCCTTCTCCTGCCACCTGTGCCTGTAGAGGACAGTCACAGAGGTGAGGTGATAGTATAATGACCAGCTGACAATATGATTATGATATGTAACTGATACAGCAAGTAATAAAAATGACAAATGTGATAAATATCATCATTATGATTGTTATCAGCCCCAGTCATCATCCTTGGGCAAAGCCCATAATTTAACCTGTTCCACAAATAAATATTTGAGGGAGATATTATTTCTTTCACCATAAAAATGAGGAAAGTAAGGTACAGATCTGCTCAAGTTTACCCAACTCTAGTGATGGTGGATTTTATATTTTATTACTCTTTTCTACTTCCTTCTTAACAAATAGTTTTTTGGTACATTTCATATTAATTTTAAGGTGGTAAAGTATATATGATAAAACTTGCCACTTTGATAAGTTGTAATTGTACTACTTACTGGTGCTAATTGTACCTGTAATGTTGTACAACTATCATCAGTATTCTTTCCCAATACTTTTTCATTGCTCTCTATGGAAACCCTGTCCTCATTAAGCAATGACTCCTCTATCCCCGAGTCCCTTCCCCACAGCCCTTGGGAGCCACACTCATCTGCTTTCTGTCTTTGTGAATTTGCCTATTGTGGAGATTTCACATCTGTGGAACTGCGGGGGGGGTGCATTCCTTCTGGGCGGGGCTTACTTTTATCATAATGTTCTCCATGTTCTTACATCCTTGGCTCCTTGTTCTGGGAACAGCACTTCCTTTGGCTTCTGGGGGGCTGCACACTTGTGATCTTTGCTTTCTCCCAGTCTCCCACAGCAGCTTCCTCCTGGTCTGACCCTAACATGGCCTTGTCTGTGCTTGGCCCTGCGGTGTTCTTAGCAATCCATTGACAGCCCAGAGTTCATCTCCAGCCCTGAAGTCTCCTCTGAGTCCCAACGCGCACACCCGAGCCTGGGAGTTGCCTGTGACTCCTCACTGGCCCCACATCTACACCATTAGCAAACAGTTGGCTCCACCTACAGATGATCCCAGATCACAGCCATGTCTGAACTCTCCGTGACTGCCACCTGCTTAGCACCAAGTCAGCTGCCTGGACACCCCTGCCCTCCTTGCCCTGCAGGTTTGCCTGCCCTGTCTCCTAAGTCATCCTCAGCTGGCAGCATGATGACATGTAGACTCCACCATTCCTTTCCCTCTCTAGTGCACTTGAGCCTGAAGCTATCGCCCCGCATGGGGATTGGCCTCAGCTGCCTTCTTTGACACCTGGCTGTCTCCTCTTCACTTGGCAGCCACTTTCTTCCTGGCCCTTGAACAGCTCATTCTCACTGCCTTTGCTGTTCCTGCTGCCTGACTCTCCTCCCAATGATCTTTAAGTACCCAGGAAGCCACTCACCCAGGCTGCTCTTAGAAGGTGCTAGTTAATCTTGAGTGTCAACTTGGTTGGCTCTAGAGATGCCTGCATTACTAAAACATACTTCTGGGTGTGTCTGGGTAGGTAAAGGGTTATGACCTTAGGGACTACTAGGTGTGATCAAAATATACAGTGAGTAAATTTAAAACTGATTACCATAAAAGACACATTTTCATTACTCTCCCTCAGAAGACCCACCTCCTCACTTCAAACACACTTATCTCATGGTTCTTGCCACTTTTTGAAGCAGCTCTGAAAATCTTTGCTGAGTGCCTTTATAAGACCTGGTAAGATATTCAGTGAATGGTGTTTCCCAAATGCCATCCAATAGAAAATCAGGCTTTAAAAAACATTAGAGTGTGTCACCATTCACCTAATTCATCAGATCTGGCACAGCGCAACTTTTGGCTGTTCCCTAAAGTCAAAATGACCATGAAAGGTAAATGTTTTGAATCGGTTCAGGACATTGAAGCAGCCATGACAGCACAACTAAAGACATGAAAGAGGACTTCCAGAACTGCTTCAGAAAGTGGCAAGAATGATGGGATAAGTGTGTTCAGTGGTAGGGGGAGGAGTCTGAGGGGGGCTAATGACAATATGTCTTTTACTGCAATAATTTAAAAAATTTAAACATGCACCATATTTTTTTTTTGTATATACTGTAATTTTATTTCAAGTGCACAAACGAAGTTAGCATGTAGGAAATTTAAATGAAACAGTTACGGTAAAAATAGCAGAGAACTGAAAAATCTACAAAGGAAAATATACCTAAAGCATGAAAAGTCAACATTTATTAGTGTTTCATCTTCAGTTCTGATTGACACTTGATGCTTCCAAATTTTTAAACAAATTTTTAAATCATGATGACTATTCTGAAGAGATTTCAGCACCAGCACTAAGATTTGTACATTGTTTCCAGCTGACTTGTTAGCCATTTACAGAGCGTATAGTACAGATGTGTCACAGGTCAGATCACAGTGTTGAGGACAGCAGTACCTTCCTGTAACTACAAGGGATCCCCGAAACTGTACTCAGCTGAAGACATTCAGGTACAACAGCACAAAGCCATCAGAATAATGTAGTTCCGAGAAACACAGTTTGATAGGAAAATAACTTAAGCATCTGTTTCTCATTTTCATTACTGAAATCTCTAACAATGACGTGACCGTCATGTATGTCAGCAACAGGGCAAATGTGTAGAGTAATTCAATCAAACTTCCTGGAGGGAACACACTTAACATCTGGTAGGATGTAGAACGATGGACAATGGAGCCTGACTCAACACTGGTTCTGTCACTTCACACAGATTTCATATTAATATTAGACCAAGGCACAAATGTTTAGTGCATAAATCAGCTTCTTTATAAGATTTAGCATTTTATTTTAGCTTTTTATCTCACTTTGGACCACTTGTACCCAGTACTCTTACTGCAGACTACTTAATTTACCCAAGAAAATCTAAAGTGACTTCTGGCCGGATTTACAGAAGGCATAAATGTTTATATTGTCAAAGTGTCTACATAACCCCAAGTACAGTAATAAAGATGAAAATGCCTCTTATTCCTTTTGGAGAACAGTAATTCATAAGCTTGCTGCATCTGTAAAGCCTTTACTACAACTGCATGACAGTGAATACTTGATAGAAAACTGCACGCTTGTGTTACAATAGCTCACCCATCACAGTTTCATCTAACATGAAGCTTCTACCAAAACAAACTATTTTAACAGGGAAGAAAATCCTCTCATCCAAACTTCTCTGTAGTGGAAATGACTGCACAGGGGCATCATTTAGAAAATAATGCTATCAACAAGCTTTGTCTTAGGCCTGGGATTTATAAAATCTAGAAAGCAGATGAAGGTGGATTATTTCACAAAAATTTTAGTAAAAGTTCCAATAATCAAAGATTTCAAAGCAATTATGGCATGTAACAACTCAAGCATAAATCAAAATGGAGAGCCTGAAGAATTTCTGATTTCCTAAAATTTTCTAAAAAAATATCACTGCAACATAAAGGACTTCTCCCCCATTTTAATCTTACTAGTTTTGGAGAAAGGGAGTGTATCATGCACACAGCACGCACACTTGTGCACACCCACCCACACAACACAGGGTGGAAACAGTGTCTGACTCCTCCTTCCCACCTAGGCCTGGCTCCCTTTAATGAAACTGCAGCCTCCTCCCCTCGGTTTCCCTTTACCCAGTGATTTCCGTGACATTAACTGCTGTCATCATTGTCATTTCTTGTATTTCAACGTAAAATTCAAAAGCACCCTCCTGCCAGACTGTGTGTCTGAATACCTGCGTCACTGTCAGTGATGGTGACACCTGACTGAGTGCCACAGTAAGATACAATCCACACGAAGCTCGGATTCATGTTTCAGACTGCTGGAATTACTGGTTAGAATACAGATAGCTAAAGACATGATGTAGAAGAGAAGTACTTGGTTTTGTTGACATATTTACCAATTAAAGTCACAAAATAGTCCTCATCACTATTCATGCAGATAATGGAGAAAAAAGAGCAGAAATTAACTTTAAATAAAAAGTTATTCCTTCCCTTCCTCCCACTCCCTATACTCTACAAAATGTTTTCCCTGGGTTGAGGCCTCGAAAAAGCCACTACTTATTAGTGTGACATGCATTACTGTCTGCAATTACAAAAGCTAACCTTGTGGTGACTGGAATTACATTATAAAAATGCCCACATGCATAAATCTAAAAAAGGTTGAAAACCTACAGTAAATCTACAATATTATTGTTTTCCTTTTGACCACTGGTTTGTGTTATGTAGACGTCATAGATTTGGTAAAGCATTGTAACAATTTAGGAAGGCATCTAAATCTTTAAATTCTGGATGAATTTTATGTTTTAAACTACAAAATTGCATGAATGCTAACTCGAGAGACTTCCTATCATTCTAAAATTCCTTAAGCTGGACCAATCATCTTTATCATACTTTCTTATAAATGTCGTTCTTTGAAAGCACATACAATTCCATTTATTCCAGATTTTATGATCTTAACCTACACACAGGCTGATCTCAATTAATCATGGAATATCAAATATGATAGGAAGACAGACCTGAGAGAAACATTTACAATACAACAGCAGAACTTGCTAAATTCTTCATCACTACTCTCTGAAAAAGAACTCCATAAGCCTTTCTCCTTATTTTAGCAATGGGCTATATAAAATGTGTGGCTTTATCTCAACATGAAAATATTTCAATGCATGGTGTTCTTGTCTGACGGATGGGCTTCGTATTTTCTGTGCAACTGTTAAAGGAACTTGTCCACCACTCTTCCATTCTGTGGGAAAGGACAGAGAAAAGCAGCCGGCAGAGAGGGACGGCGATCACAGAATCACAATGTCTGAGGCTTTCTGAGGATGCTGCTTTCCTCCTTTGACTGCTTGTCTCCATTTTCTTCTCACAGTCACAGAATTGTACGAGATTGCTGCTAAAGACTACTGTTTGTAGGATTTCTTTCCTCTCTAGATTAAAGTTCTCTCTCTCTTCTTTTTGCTTTTCTATGAAGTATTTGACTTGCTCAGTTCCTGCCTAATTGTATCAATGAGCTCTTCCTTTAGTTTTGTCAATTCTTTTCTCATTTCATCTAGAATGTCCTGCTTCAGCCTGTCGTAGTCAAGCCCTTCCGTCTGGATGCCATTGGCACTGGGCTATGATGAAGGCGTGGATTTTGGTCTGGAGGATGACAGGGGACTTGCTGCCATTCACTGCATTTGCTCTTTCCCAAGGCTTTCTGGTTGGTTCAGGTGTACTTATTGAAGAGGCCTTTGAAGCTACAGGCTCAGCATCTTCACTTTTGTCCTCTTTTTGTTCTGCTTCTATTGTTGATCCCTTTTCAGCAGTTCTTCTCCTCCTGGCCAGCAGGGCACTCATTTCTTCCATTAAGCCGCTGCCCCCTAGAGGAAGGGGCCCGTTTCCTCAACTGGAGTCGGCTTTGGAGGAGGCTGAGTTCACAGCATTGGTACTCCCTCCACTAGGGAAAGAGGCATCCTCCATCCGTGACACTTTCCTCAGTTTTGCTCCAGCAATTGCAGCTGCAAGTCCAGTTAAAGGGCGATGGTCTTCTGACACAGGTTCCGAGAAAAATCCAGCCACAGGGAAGGGAGGGGGGGGGGGGGGGGGGGGGGGGGGGGGGGGGGCGGCCCAAGACGACCCCCTGCAGCGCTGGAGTCTCGGCTGGCTGAGAGACTGCCTGCAAGCCTGGCTCAGAAGCAGAGGAGTCTCCCAGCACAGAGTTTAGAGGAGTCTCCGCAGAGGCAGGGGCAGCAGCACCCGACACTCTGCGCTCGCGCTCCCATTCGAACTGCTCGGGCTCCAGCCGCTCGTGCTCCAGCCGCTCCCTTTCCATTCTCTCCCTCTCCAACCTTTCCCTCTCCAGCTCCTTTTGTCGTTGTTGTTCTTGCAGTTGCCTTCTCTGAATTTCCAAGTCTTCTTGGGATGGGCCATTTTGAACTTGAGCAGGTAGTTGTGAATTCTGTCTAGGCAATGTTGGCCCTGCTTCCTGTGAATTCAGCACTTCGAAGGCATGCATCATGGCACTTGCGAAGACACTGGCATCCTCCTTGCTGCCAAAGTTGAGGCCGTACACCTGTCTAGCATCTCGCCACTGGTGGAAAGTCTGTGTAGCTTGATTATACTTCAACCCTTTAGGAATGGCACAATTTATCACCACCTGGTGGTCCTGGATCTTCCTGCCCACCACTCGGAACGTGTTGTTGCCCGTGTGGTGATAGATGTGGACTCTGCTGAACCCTGTGGAGCCACCAGCTGGCACCCACTTCTTCTTGGCATCGTCGTAAACCATCACAGCAGCTCTCGCCTGACAGATACTCTGTTCACTCATGGCGTCGGAGGCGGGCCCGGCTTTGCGGGCCAAGGCTCAGGGGGTCGGCGTCTTGCGCGGCTGGCTGCGGCTACACCATGTCCGAGTGGGGCCGCGGGCCAGGGTGGGGCCGGGAGGGCGGGGACCCCCGGGAAACCCAGCACCCGGCGCCGCTCAGCACCGCTGGCTTCCTCCGGCCTCCGCCGCGTCCTCCTCAGAGCCGGCGCTGCGGGCGGCCAGGCTGACCTTATTTTTTGATTACACCGCATATGTCTGGTCTCAGGCCCCTTCCTCTCAGCTGCTCTTTGCTTCCTGGCCACCATGATGTGAGCAGCTGTCCTCCACTATGCCCTCCCACCATTCTGCTCCTCCCTAGGAGCCAGCTAACCATGGACTGAAACTTCTGAAATTGTGACCAAATCAAACCTCTCCTCCTTTAAGCTGTGCATGTCAGGTGTTCTGTCCCAGCAAGGAAAGGAGACTAAACACAATGTCCTACACAGCCTAGCACCCTGTGTCTCAGGTTCTCACCCAGCTGATGTCCTGTCACCTCATGTTTATCTCAGTCTTCTATGTAGTTGGGTGTGGTTGCCTTCTCCACCAGAGTGTGAGCTCCAAGGAACATGACTCCTTCACTGTGGGTCCCCCAGAACCCAGAAGAGGGCCCAATGGTCAGCATGTGCTCTTTGAATGACAGGAGGAGTGACTGCAGAGTGATGCTCAGACCTGGCCTGCTTCAGGCTGCCCTGCTCTGAGTAGACCAGAGGCCACCATCCAGTCCCAGGCCTCAGTTGCCTTTGCTGTAGCATGGGGCAGAATCATTGCTTTCCCATCCCCCACATTTGCTCTCTGTGAGCTGGAATGGGCGCGGTGCTGCAGGTGGCTGATGCCATTGGTCTGTGGGACTTGGCAGGGACTAGAGGATTCCCAGCAGCCTGTGTCTTTGTGGACAAGCGTGTCCCTCACCCAACATTAGATGAAAGGAGAAGCTGAATCATGATTTTTCAAAGGAAAGTGAGATGAATGTGGGCTGGAGCAATCCGGGAGGCTCCCAGGAGGAGGGGAGCCAGAGGCTGGAGGGCTAGGGGTGGAGCAAGACAGTCACAGTCAGTTGTGTAGCCAGAGTGGGACTGAGTGGAGGGGAGCTAGGAGGAGGGTGAAAGAAGATGTTCAGTGATCTGGGAGGTGGTCTTAGACACTGTCTCAGGGCTGGGGAGGCTTCTCAGATGGTGGCCAGCAATGGTGGCATGGGTGGGACCCATGGTACCTGTTTCCTTCCAGCTCACACACATATTGCATGGTGGCAGACCAGTCATATGTGCCGGGCTCCTTCCTCAGCCACTTCTCCAGCTCCCAAAGGTTCTGCTCACTGTAGTCCAAAGTGATCATCTCGCCAAAGCCCTCGCAGGCTGAGAGCAGCTGCTAGATGGTGGGGCTGGTGCCAATGTCAATCAACAGGTCACCATGCACTCCTCCTGTTGGGGACAGCACTGGGAGGCCTGGGGAAGCAAGTGTAGAAGACCCTAACCTTGCCTTCCCCAGGACTCATGGGCCTAGGAAGGTATGCAGAGTTGGCCTGTGCCTGTCTTTTCCTCCCCCCACCCTCCCAGGGAGGGCAGATTCACACCTGGGGCTAGAACAGTGAGGCTGGGGGTGAGTGCAGCCTGGCACACATACCAGATCCCCCCCAGGACCCCCAAAATACTAGTGGGGGCCTGGTAGTGTAAGTCTGGCCCTTCTGGACAGGTTACGGCTGACTTCCTGGTTGAAGCTGGTCTATCCTGTGGGGCTCTGACTGGACTTACAGGGTGGATGGAGCTGGATTGTTCCTGAATCGCGGAAAGAAACGCACAGAGACACAGAAGTTGGGTAAAATAAAAGTTTACTCTCAAGCAGGCAGGACTGCCAGAAACTGGTCTGGTCAGAGTCTGAACCCTGCGTTCTTTGTCCATCACCTTTTATACTTTTGTCAGTCATTATTTCATCCCTAATGGTCTTTGTTAAATAAATAAAGTTCCAATTCCTGTTTAATGGTTAGACACAGGTGGTTTCTGCAACAGATTACAGTCCTGAACACTTGACAGTTAAGGCACATATATCACAAGTTTGTTCAAGGATTCCCACTTTGTTCTTCAGAGCTAGGATGTTATCTATAGTGAGCTGCAGATCAAAGGAGCTATATAACCTTCACTTTAAACAACAAAAGCAACGGGCTAAGGCAAGCTTTTAAAGGGATACACTACCTATTTTGCTTCCACAACTACTTTAATAGCTAATCTAAACTTACTTTAAAACTTTTCCCTATCAGGATGAAGGCTGAGAACCGGGCCAGGGCTCATGACCAGCTCAGCCAATTCAGAAGGTGAGGGACGAGGCAATGAGTGAGAGGAATAGACAACACTAAGCTAATGCTCTCTAATCACTGCATCCTCCCTCCGGCCTTCTCCCTTAATGCCCACCTGTCCATCTGCCAAGGCTCAGCGGCAGCTTCCTTTGCTCTGTGTTCCTGTGAGTGTTCCTTGTTGTACCTTTCTTGGAACTGACTACACGATTAGATAAGGTTTGGGAGTGCCTGAGCCACCTTTAGGATTGTGTGGTGCACCGCAGCCCCTCACGAGTCTGATCTGGGCTGGCCACCCCTCTCCCTCCCTCCCACTCTGAGCCTCAGGCTTCCCTGGGGTGCACTGAGGAATTTGAGAGTTAATCTCTACTGGCTCACCCAGTTATAATGCCCCAGAGCAAGGCTTTGTAAACTGAACTCTGTGGTTTGGCTTTGGGTTTCCATGAGCTTTCTCCTTCCACTTCTATGAGTAATGCTGAGAATCAAACCCAGGGCCTCACACATGCTCAGGCAAGTCTATTTTCTGTTTTTAAAAAAGTGTGTGTGTGTGTTTGTGTGTGTGTGTGTGTGTAGGAATGTTGATCAGACTTCCATGGGATTCAACAGCCCAGGGCACAAAGTCCCGCTTTTATGCCTCTCAGCGGAGGAGTCAGGTAGAGCAATCAAACAGCAGGCAGTGTTCTCTGTCCTGTTCTTTATCTTCCCCCAGCACGGGCCAGTTCTGGGGTCATTCTCTCACTTCACAGGTGAACAAACTGAGGCTGATGAGCACACACTCAAGCCCAGCTCCTTGGTGTCCAAGGCCAGGGCTCTGCACTCAGCTTCTGCCACCTGGCAGAGGCCTTGTGCTCAGCAGGCTGGTGGCCAGGATGGGCTGGGCTGCCTTTGCAGCATCCTTGGTGCAGACACGCTTCCTGTCCATTGTAACCCCCCTGGCCACACCATGAACCCCACGTGTACCCTAGCCAGTCACCTGCAGTGAAGGTCTGGAAGAGGTTTTCCAGGTTAAATTTCAGGATTTCGTTTTCAGCCATGGTGCCCGAGTTGAAGGCGTAGAAGGTGGCCAGGTAGTCTTTGGGGTCGAACTCCTTCTCATAGTCCTCTCCTCCCTCGTAGTCTATTTCCCTTCCTGGAACGACTGCCTGCTCCTTTACCCAGGTGTGCCCACGCCTTCCTCCCAACCTCTTCTCAAAAGGAGTTTTGTAACCTTCTTGGCCCGCCTCCCTCTCCTGGATGGCCTCAGATCCGAACACAGGAAGCCAGCGCTGTGGGGCTGAATTTTCTGGCTGAAGTTTATCTACTTGGTAAATTGTCAAGAACATGGGAATGCAAGGTCACCAATGTCAGCCCTTTGGTGTTCTTGCTTGCTGGGAGGTGGAGTTTTGAGTGTTGCTACTGCTAGGGGTAGAGAGGGGAGAGAATTACAGAGAGACAGACACACAGGGAGACAGAGGAGCAAAGCAGTAGACAGAGACAAGGAGAAACCAAGGGTCTACAATAGTTCAAAGATGCTTCCCTCTTGGGATTTGGTTGGAAAACAAGAGGCAGAAAGGCCTCTAGGGGTGGGGAAACAGGAACCAGAGATGGCTAAGATTTTACTGACCAGGGTCAGTGAGCTTGTCCTTAAAAACAGATGGTCCTTCCCTGAGTTTAATGTTGTTCACTTTATCTACTTGCTTTATCAATCTTTTTTTGTTCTTCATTTTGTTTTTCTGCTTAAACAATCTATTCTTAAACTTTATTTTTCATTTGTACACATTTGTCATGTATATTGATTACATTTTTCACTTGTACACATTTGTCATGTATATTGATTACATTCATCACAGGGATTTTGTACCTGTACACGATGTGTCTTGATTCTTCTTTTTTGCCCCATTCTCCTCCTCTCCCTTCAACCCTTCTCCCCCTCCCATTTACAAAAGTTTTGTTTCCATTTTTTCCTTTTTCCTTTCTTCCATTTCTCTCCCCCATCCCTTGTTCCCCTTCCCATTTGAACATTTTCTTCCTATTTCCCAGTATCTGTCATCCATTTTGGTCCTTATTTTCCCTTTGGGTTTCTCACACAAGAGAAACAATGTGATATGTAAACTTGTGTATCTATTGATCTTTTCTTTTTGATTAGCACAGGAGTACATTGAGGCAGGGCCCCTGAAAATCATGGGAAGTCTCATGTTTGGACAAACTATTTAATAAGTGTGGCTGTACATGTACGTGACAAGGGCATGTCAGAACACTGCACTGAAGTTAACACACACGTGCAAGTGACACTGGAGAAACCCGAAATAAGATCAGTAGGTGGTATCAACATTAATACCCAATTTTAATCTTGCACACTATTGCTTTAGAAGATGTCTCCATTGAGGGAGGCTGAGGAAGGGCATAATCTTTCTCACAACTTACAAGGCACCTTTGAACTTCCTAACAGAGTATGTACTATGGTCAAAAAATAAAGAGAATGTTTAAGTGTTTAAAAGTTTATTCCAATAAAAGAACACTGCCATTGATCCTCCTCGAAATACTTCCCCTCGCTTTGAACAGGCTTATCCCACAGTACTTGCCACTTTCTGGAGCAGCTCTGGAAGTCCTCTTTTGTGTCTTTAGTTGCACTGTCATAGCTGGCTTGAGGTCCTGAATTAATTTAGAAAGTTTATCTTTGGGGAAGAGCGGAAGTTCTATGGTGTTAGGTTAGTGAACAAGGTGGATGAGGACACACCATCATGCTTTTACAAGCCTGCCTTTCTCTTGGATGGCACTTGGCAGCAGCAGTCACCATCTTTTTTTTTTTGTCATCACTCATAAAAGCACCCAGGAAAAAATATTTCTAGAACTGCTTCAGAAAGTATTAAGAACAATGGAATAACTACCTTCAAAGTGAGGGAGAGTATTTTGAGGAGGATCAACTGCAGTGTGTCTTGTACCGTAATACATTTTTAAAATTTAAACATTCACTGTATGTTTTGATTACACCTCTTACAACTGCATGGGAATCTACAATGGTCTACAAATAAAATTTTTCTCAAAAATGCGTTGCCAGATTCTCCTTCCAAAGGTCACTTTAGGGTAAAGAGATTTCAGGCATCGAACTAGTGTGTTTTGCAAGGGCAAATCTGGACCTGAGCTGATGAAAAACTGCCCCTCATAGACCCAAGAGTAGTGCCAAGGAAGGCAGCTTGGATAGAAATCTCTAACATTTACTGGGGACATACTATGCACCAGGGGCTTCCTGCCATCTCCAGGACAATTTGTAAAGTAGGTCCTGAAGTAGCCCTTCCCCTAGCAATGAGGAAGAACTGTGCCTTGCTTGGGTGGCCCTAGCAGCAACAATGGGGGACAGATTCAAATGCAAGAGCCTGTGCCCAGAGCTGGAGTACAGGTGGACCCAAGCCTCATCCTCTGCCCATCTAAGCCTGCTGCCCTCACAGCCCGCTCTCTTTGTGCCCCAAGCAGTGCCTCTCAAAAGTCTGTGGGCCCAGGGATCCCAAGGACCTGGTGATGGTGCAGATGGGCTCCTGAGGTTCTGCCTCCTCAGATAGCACAAGGACCCTATAAGCAGGAGGACCTCTGGCTCCCAACACCTAGAACCAAAGACGCTCAACATTTAGATTCATTCAGGGTTTTGAGTTTGTGGGACAACATTGCCACAGAATATACACTTTAATCCACCTTTCATCATAATTCTCCTACTCTTACTGTGTTAAATATATATTCCCCCCATTTCTGAAATTCGTAACACTTGGAACAGGGGTATTTCTGTTCAATGAAGAAAGCATCAACTCTAAGTTAAGTGGTGACAGGACAGCTGCCTATCTGGTTGACCTCTGCTCAATTAATTAGAAATGAGTTGCATGTTGGAATCTGATAGACATCAGTTGTAGTGGATGAAAATGACTGTTGACATCGAGTATATGGTGTTTGTCCCAGGGTTTCTGATGTTGCCATCCATGGCTGCTGGATACTTGCATCTGGAAACTGCAGAGCTGTCATCTCACCATGTATAACCATGCCTGCCTGCTTGGTTCTCCCAACACCAAGTCAATGTCATCTCTCCACAGCATTCACAGGCTCTGTAAATGGCAATTCTGGGTGGCTGCTCAGGTAAGGTTGACTTAATTTCACCCCTGGTGTTTGGCTGTAAAAGATTCACCATTTCCATTATTGCAAATCATGTAATCAATATTGTGGTGCATGAGTTTTTGGCTGTATTGTGGATTTTGGCTTTAGATTGGATACCTTGGGCCAAAGTTTGAAAACTTTTCCTATAACTAATTTGGGCAAGTAATTCAGGGAAATAATTACTAAATTATTTTTCTAGAGGAAGACAATTATTTTTCCAATTTAATTTTTTAGGAAAAATATTTCCTTTTTTTCTAATGAAACATGATATACTATTATTATAGACAGATATGTTAGATGACATTAACAGGCGGTAGGAAGGGGACCAGGCTTTCATAGTAGTTGGTACAAAAGATAGGACCCATCAAAACTGTGGCTGGAAGCAAAATGGAAGTGAGTCAGGCCTGCAGGCCTCCCTAGAGATAGATAGCAGCTTCAGATTGCACTATAATCAGCATCAGCTGGTTCAGTGAGCCTAGCTAAGGCACCAGATGTATAAGTGGGTGGCCAGAACACCCGGACTCAGACCCCTGTCCCTCCCCCCAAATGCCCTGACTTTTCTATATTAGAAGTTATAAATAAACTGCAGTAAGTGATGCTCACCATATATACCCTGGCTACATGCCTCACTTCCTTATAGGATCAAAATTAGCTAAGCTACTATACTTGTAATCCCTTAGGTTGGCCTCTGTTGGCTCAGAGTGGCCTGATAAGTGGTCATTTTTGTGTGTAAAAATCCCCAGGAAAAGAGTCTGAGCAGCAACCCACTTTCAGAACCCTTCCTATCTCTCTAGAGGTTTCTTTCACAAAAGTCTTGCTAGTCTTAATCTCCTTTGTCCTTGTATGCATTTTACAGTTATTGAGATATGTGAACTCAGCACATCTGACATTTTTAAGAGGTTGGGAGTCACTTCCCTGTGACAGCTTGGAGGTTCCACCAAGATCTTCAAAAGGGAGTAAGAGTTTGCCTTTTTTTTATGGCACTTTCCCCCCAAGTTGGAGGGAATGTTGGCTCAGTCTCACCTCAGTTTTCCTATCTAATTTGATCCTTCTGCTGGTGAGGAAGTGATTTCTGCCATTGGTGCTTTTGGCTCTTTGTGGCCCATGGTCTTTGGACATTTTACTCCTTTAACTTGCTGCAGGTATTAGAAGGAATGAATCACCTTTCTCTATCATGACTCCCTTTCTTGGGAAGCTTAGCTAGGAAATAAGAAAGACCCTATATCTTGTTGTCTCAGTTGCCTGGTTGTACTCTGGTGGGCATAGGTTGGATAGTTAAAAGCTATTAGAACATCTGCCACTTTGAGATTCTAATGAAACAGTAGCTCGACCATGGGATGGAGCATTGTAGACTCTGCTGGGCTCAGGACAACTCCCATTCATCTGCTAGGTTTATGTTTTATGTTTGTGCAACAAAAGGATAAAATTACTTTGTCTTTTCCTGCACCTTAGATATTTTGCCCTGATAATTTCTGAGTTCCGGGAGGTCTTGCCTATAGTACTTTGTCTCCCTTGTGGGTCACATTTTTCCCTTATAGTACTTTGTCTCCCTTCTGAGTCACATTGTTGCTGAACCTCTTCTTCCACGCATCTACCTGCTAAATTACTCTCCTAGCCTCCTGAGTGTTGGCTAAATTGGTGCTTTAAGACAAAAGGTATAACCTCAATTTCTGAGATTGGTAAAAACCAGCTCTTAAATGTTATCAGCCTGTGCTTGGTCCTAATGGACAAGAAAATTAGGGTTAACTTCTCTCTACCAATCCAGGGAAGGGAACAAACCTTCCTGGAAAACTTTGAGAAGTTAACAAGAGCCCATTGTTGTAAATCTTGGCCAACTGATAAATTTACTTTTGGATTCCAACTTGAGTTGATATTTTTTTGTTTAATTGATATGCTTAAAGCATTTCTTGTGCATTAGAATAATTCTTAAACTGAAATTACAGGGTTAACTTACACTTCTGTTGCTTTCTGCTTGGAGTAAGATAAAGATGCTACTCAAGAATACTTGGAGATCTGTAGGCCAGCCAGCCCTAATTAGAATGTAACCATTTATATAAACTCACTCACTCGGAGACCAAGGGAGAAAAGCAAACTAAGGACATGTTAAAATCCAAGCAGTTAGCAGCTACTAGATTTGTTACAGATAGAAACTAGTTTGTAAGATGCGGATGGAAATATGAAAAATGTTATAAGCATGAAGATATATTTTTGATGTGAGAGGATTTTATATGATAAGGTTTTTGCCCTACCAGGGTGGAAATAAAGACAGTAACAAAGCTAGGAGGTACAAAAATGTTGAGAAAAGCTTGTAGAGGGTGAAGTTTATAAAAAGAAATATGTATGTTTTGTTATTTTAAGCTTTTGCTCTTGTTGGCTTGGTTAAGCCCAGGCTGTTCCTTCTAAACTTCCTTGTTGACCAAAGAAACTAAAGGTCTATGGCCCTGACTCTCAGATCATCAATCACTCCTCCCCTGGCCCCAACTCCCCTTTCTGGTCTGACTGTCAGCAATAGTCCTTCTTTATTTTCTCTGTCTCCAGAATACTCTTTCTTTCTTTTTTTTTTTGGTACCGGGGAACAGACTCAGGACCTTGCACTTTCAAGGCAGGCACAGTGCCACTGAGCTAAATCCCCAGCCTTTCTTTCCTTTCCTTTCCTTTTCTTTCCTTTCCTTTCCTTTCCTTTCCCTTTCCCCTTCCCTTTCTCTCTCTCTCTTTCTTTCTTTCTTTCTTTCTCTTTTTCTTTCTTTCTTTATTTCTTTTTCTTTCTTCTTCCCTCCCTCCCTCCCTTCCTTCCTTCCTTCAATAATAAAGTACACTCAACAAGAGAGACATATGCTTTCTAGGCCTATAACCCCCCTTTTTAATTACCCATGATGTAAGGTTAGTTGGATAAGACTGACAGACTGAACAGGTTTAATCTGAATTCCAGTTTCATTTGTAAATGGATATGAGTCATACTGCATATAAAAAGAGAAAGCCTTTACACACTTCTTAATTCTGTGGAATCATATTGTAAATTGCAGATCACCTATTGGGGCCTCTTACAGAAAAAGAATGATCACAAACCAGAACATATTGGGAGGGATAAAAATTGTTGACCTCTGTCGGTGGGGTCACAGCTTAAAGATTTGTAACCTAAGAATGTTATTGATGAAATAGACCTTGATCTCTAGAGCTCCTCTGAAAGCTTTGATGAAAAAAATGGACACAAGATGGAGTTAGAAAGACTACTTAGAGTCTCTTCATGGCCATTGGGAAATCATACTGTGCGGACAATGATTGCTCTTCATGGCCAATGAACTCCCATTTTACCTTCAGAGACAGGCCAATCAGATTGAACCAAAAGAAAGGAATGGCCGTTTTAATCAAGGGAGCATGATATTGTGGAAGGGACTAGGTATGCACACCAGTAAGAGTGGGTAATCAAGTCAGTCCACTTTCTGGTCACTCTCCAGTCAGCAGCCCCTTGTCCTGGAGCAGGGAACACTGGGAATTCCCCAGCACTAAGGGACACCTTGTTTCCCTTTGTCTTTCAGGAAGGGAAACTCAAAGTCAACCTCAAATTTCCTTACTCCCTTGGAATGTATTCTTAGACACTGAGATTCTTTTGATCCCTAGACTGTAAGAAAGCATTGCTTAATCTTTTGCCACATCCATACCTGGCCTGAGCACCCCCTGGGAAATGGGAATAATGGTTGCCAAAGAAAAATGGATAAATTACAACACCGTTCCTCTAACAATCTGTCCCTTTGCAAGAAAAATTGACATGAAAAACAGCTGTATCTGTCAAAGGAGCAGTTTACTGTAGTAACTAATACAAAGGGCCCAGAGGAGTGTGTACTGTAGTGACAGCTATTCCAAAATTGAGATAAATCATCCGCCTAACCCTTCTTTAAATAGTCCTTGTTTTCACAGGAGTAAAAGGGTTTTTCTCTCTTTCCACTTACGCTATATTTTCTAAAATACTTTATTGTGTTTTCCATTGTTAGGTTTTTGGTTCTTAAATACTAAATTTTCAGAGTTAAATTAAATGATGGCTTATAAAATGTTTTCAATAGTCAGTTTATGATTGGTTAAGTGAGCAACTATTTATGATATGACCTATATATTTGGATATATATGTATGTAGTTGTTAAATGAACAGCTATTATCTTAGTTTATGACATAACCTGTCTCTCTCTCTCTCTCTCTCTCTCTATATATATATAGTGAGTCAAGCTTTAAAGTTAATAGAGTTAAGACTATATTACTTTAATACATACAAAGTAACTCATAGGTGCTCTCTTTTATACAATATATATTTAGACTTTAAACATATAAAATGATCAAGATTTTTGATATCTCATTAAATTTGGTCATGCCATTTAAAAATTTGATCTTCACCTATTGACTTTGATTAAACAAGCATTTTGTTATTGTATAAATGATATACACTTATCTGGTGGGTAATAAGTCTATTTGTGATCATTAACACTGTTTCCTAAATTTATTTTATTTTATTTTATTTTTTCAGTACCGGGGTGTAGGGAACAGGGAAAGGGGATGTTACTAGGACCTCTGCAGTAAGTCCTAGTCTCCTGCGAGCCACAGCAGCACAAGGAGAATTACAGGAAAGGTAGAAAAATGAGACTGAGAAGAAGCTGAGCTTTGGGTCTGATCAGTGCTGCTCTGGGTGGCAAAGATGAAAGCCCCCAGCTTACCTTGCAGAGAGTTCAGCACATCCCTGTAAACATGATGTAACAATCCAAGAACAATGAAGAACTGAGTAGATGAAGACTTTGTTCCTCTCAGGATGTCTCCCGCTGGTGTAATCTTGTCCTGGAGCATCACAGCATCACCAGATCATTGAGGTCTCAGTTGTGACCGGAGGCCAAAATGGAATTATGTCTCAGAATTCCATAGCTGGGTTGTAGGCAGGAGAACTAGGCTAACCAAATGATTTTACCCTAAAATTACGTAGCGTTGCTCCCAACACTGGGGATTGAATTCAGGACCTTGCGCTTGTCAGGCAGGCACAGTGCTGCTGAGCTACATCCCCAGCCCTGTTTCCTAAATTTATTAGAGCTCTAAAGATGTCCTTAATTGTTGTCAGTAAGCTTATTAAAGGTGTCTAAATTTTTTCCTAAGAGTAAAAACTAAGTAAACATGTGTAAAGATATCTATGTACCTGTAAAGCTTATTAGCGCTGACCTGATGGTATATTAGATGTATTTGTGTTTCTCAAGTGTACAGGCCTTCAAAGATACAAAACTTAAGAAAACACCTTATTGTACTGATGACTTCCAAGCTAAAGTTGTTTTTGATGGTTAACTTGTAACTTAATCATCTGGCTTTCCTTTGCTTGTGGTCCAGCTACTTTGATGAAATGTACCCACCAACCCAACATGAGACAGACAGCCAGGTGATATGGATAATTTTTCATGCTTATGTTTATGTGGTTATTATGCAATTGTGTTACAATAGTCAGAGGTGGCTAAACAACATGCAGTCCAGGCAATGACACTCCAAAGATTTAAGAATGGACATTATTAACCTATAAAGTACATCTATAAAGAAGTACATTCTACTTAAATGGCACTTTTAAAATATAACAAATTTAGGGCCAGGGATTTGGCTCAGTGGTTTCACCACCTGCTGCGCACGCACAAGGACCGGAGTTCAATCCCCGGTACCCTGGTACCAAAAAAAAAAAAGATAACAAATTTAGGTAAAAACTTCTTTATGTCACTTAATATTTTGAAATTAGATAAAGGTAAGTGACTAAAAAGTTATTTTATACTAAAATAAGAATTTACATATATTTTCAGAAATAAAAAGCCTTATGGTTCTAATAAAATAATGTCACATAATTGTTGTGTTAAAATGTTACTTTGCCCTTGATTTCAAAATTTCCCTGGAAAACTCTGTAACTGTTATCTGTTAACATTCTATGGGAATTGGACTTTTAAGACAAACATGATTGGTAAAAAGCAAAACAAAACAAAATAAAACAAAACCCCCACCAGTTTTCTGGCTATACTTTACATTTCAAAGTGCTTGATATTCAGATAAAAAAATTATGATAGCTAAACCTACTCCTTCCACGTCAGTACTGGTGGAACTGACCTTCTGTGTGTTCAGCAATTAAGGCTTAGAGGCCAAATCTTAAAAGATAACTAGGCTAAGAGGACAACCAATATTTTGGCTGGCCCTGGCCCTCCAAGGCAATCAAGGACACAAGACATGAGGGGACTTCTCCAAAAGGATTCTACAAGTCTGATAAGTCACCAAACTTCCTGAGCAGGGAGATTGTTGGACCCCAGAGGACATGGTGCTATAAAGGAGAGTCACCAAAGAGGGAATCACCTCCTGTACTTCACTGGGAAGCCTTATAGTCAGGCAAGACCATGACCCATCCTGGCAGGTTACACTGACAGAGGAGATAAGAGACTCTTTACATGGTCCCAAAAATAATCTCTGAGGAGGAGCCTTAATGAGAGACAGACAGAGAGAGAGAGAGAGAGAGAGAGATTAATTTTGATTAACACAAATCTCACCTTAATTTGATCTTAAACACCCAGGAAGAAAGTTTAACAAAAATATTAAAATGCTAATAATGTAGGCTAGATATAAAAAGGGCACTCCAATGACTACACTGACCCCTGCTAACTGTCTCCCCCTACACCTATAGCTTATCACTATTATAGTTTAATGAGGCCAATAAGTCACAATGACAGCTATAAAAGCTCAATAAGAGTCTTTAAATTCCTTGTATTTAGACAAATAATTTACATTAGGTGGAGAAAGATCTAAAAACAATAAAAATGAGACTTATAGATAACCTCTATGAATAAGCAGGTTGAAGACTTAGCTGGTTACAATTCATACTTCAACCCCTTAAGAACAGTGTCTGGACTTGGCTTCTTTCCTCAATCTGTCTTTCCATTCTGCTTCTTAAATTTGGCTATGCATATTCAATTGCTTAATCAGTTTTGTCTCTTTTAGACTCAAGGCTATTCATCTACTGAAAAGAAGGACACCTGACATTGTAGAATCTGTTTAATTCTCTGTTTTGGACTGTGTCTGGTTTGCTGTTTTCAAAATTTCTTGCAGGAACGATTGAGGGTATTCACCAGCCAGACAGTCACAGAGATCATCATGGCAGGGTACCAGCCAGTACGGCAAAAGGAAGAGGTCCCCACTTGCCAC